TTTCCTCTCAAAGGGAGAGCTTTTCGGGTAGTCTTCCTTAAGCTGTTCCTGGGATCAAGGACCTCACTAATTTTCACTGACCTATAGCAGAAACCTTTTTCCTCTCTGTTTATAAATTTTAAGAATTATTAAAATCAGCCTAAATCTGCCTTTCCTATTACTAATGAAGGTTAAAGTGGCCACAGTAAAATCCATTTATAAACTGATGGCACAACCTGACCTTTTGTCATTAAAATGAAGTAATTTTTTTCATGGAGTCATAGAATGGTTTGGGTTGGAAGGGACTTTAAAGATCATCTATTCCCAATTTCCTTGCCATGGACAAGGACACCTTCCACTAGATCAGGTTGCTCAGATCCCCATCCAAAATAGCCCTGAACACTTCCAGGGATGAGGCATCTGCAGCTTCTCTGGACAGCCTCTGCCATGGCCTCACAGTAAGGAATTTCTTTCTAATATCTAACGTAAACCTACTCTTTTTCAGTTTGAGTCCATTCACCCTTGTGCTGTCACTAAAAGCCCTTGTCAAAGCTCTCTTTCCATCTTTCTTGTCTTCAGGTACTGGAAGGCCACAATTAGGTAATTTTCATTAAAGAAATTCAGAATCTGAAGACAGGGACAGAGCATTGCTGTGTAAACTGGACAGCTCTTATTATGATTTACCCTGGTTTGGAACACACCTGTAATGCTTTTGTTCACTCCTTAGGTTTGATTTATCACAGCAGGGTTGTGGCTCCTCTGCTTGTGCTGTAACACTTCACAAGGCTTGGGTGACTTAATGAAGCAGCCTTTCTCCCATTACCTATAAACACCCAGCTAAACCACAGCAGACTTCAAGAAGGTGTCATGAAATCACTGAGTTTTGAAGCCTTTGCAGGAGGATTTAATGACATAACTTTGTATAAATGTTTCTAGAACTCATGCGGCAGGAATATTTCTGAGTTACATGAAACATAGAACCATGAGACCTTGCTTCTCCAACAGCTTCCCTATTCCTCTCCAGAAGTAGGTTTGGGCAGTATCATTTTGTCATGACCAGGAGACCTCCAGGTCTCCTTTCTTTCATCTACTTTGAAATCAGTAGAAACTCAATATTCCCAGCCCAGATTCCACTCACTGTATCTTGGCTGAGCCCAAATACTCAGATGTGGGACAGAAGTGCTTCTAAAAGTTTTGGTAGAGCAGGATGCCCCACCTGTGCTATGGATCCACTTTGGAGGCCTCAGAGGTGTTGCCATTTCTGTCATTGCTTCTCCTCCTGCAGGGTGTGGGACTGACCACAGGAACTGCATGAGTGAGACTGGAGTCAAAGAAAAAAACCCCAACCCAGGGATCAAGGAACAATGTTTTTGGTAAAATAAAAAAGCAGCTAAGGTGATTATGTTGTATTTTTACTTTCTGCAGCTTATACAAAAAACTCCAAATTCCGTTCTATATATCTATGTATCGAACACTTTACAATGAACCTCAGTTCTTTCTGAAAGATGTGGAATTTTCTATCATAAGCATACATATTTCAGTGGAAAGTACTCATTTACTCAAACTCCCTTTTTAACTTTCTTTAAAATAAATACTAATTGGAGACACCAAGAAGTAAAACACTGACTTGAGAAAAGTGATTTCAATGAACATATTGCATTCTCAAATCATGAGAGCTGGTTTAAGTCTAATTAGTGCAAGGTTTGAATCAAGTTGTATAACTTTCAAGCCACTGTAGAAAGGGTGAAATTTAATCTCTGTGGCTCCTGATAATCCTGACATCTTAAACACAATGACAACAGTGCATCTCTTATCTACCTGTAACACACCATGGCATAGCTTTTGCTGATCGAAGTGATTGAGAATTACAAATCTGAATCATGAAACAGGAGCAAGGGAAAAAATAAATACTATATTTTCTGTACGTTTGGGTTTGTTTGGTTGGTTTTTTATTGTTGTTGGTTTTTGGTTTTGTTTTTTATATCTCAAATTTAAAAATCAGTATATACAAATTTAATCATAACCTGCTATTCCTGAGCTATAAAATATGAGCCATGTCTTGGAGGAGAAACAAAGCAGAGATTCTTAAAGAAATGTCACCCACTAAAGAAACAAGAGGATTTACTGTAAATGTTCTGCTAGATCCTTATCTGCATGCAGGGCAAAACCAGACCCCTCTGTGATTACTCCTGTTTCCATGGTTCATGAAAGTAACATTATATTCTCTGTGTGTGGCGAGTTATCATTTTTGAATGAATATGCAAAAGAACCTAATGCTAGGATTGACTCCTCCTACAAGAATATTTATTCCTTCATTTCAATTTTATTGGCATTTCTGATATCAGTGCTGTACCTGCTGGAATTCTGAGCCTGCTGAACATTTAACATAAGACAGACATGCAACATTTTGGTCAGGCTTTGGAAAAAAAAACATCCATGAAAACCTGCCTTTGGGGAGTAAGCAGCAACTACTGAGCATAATATGCTTGTAAAGGTGGGCTCAGCACTGAGCAAGGCCTAAGCAGGGACACATACCTTCAGAAAAAATATGTTGTAATGAGTGAAAGATAAATATGTATTGCTTTTGTGGAAATATGTTCAGTGACTCACACAAGTGGGCAGTTAATTTCAGTTCCCTGGCTGCAGCGCCTTAAGTTATACATTTCTAGGTAACATTCAGAGAAGGGAGTCATTTATGAATTGCCTCATTTCTGCCTGCACTCTATATTAATACTTGCATTTCTTTTCAAGCTACAAACAAATAGCCAAAGATGAGATTCAAGAAAGAGGATCTGGCCTGGTGCTGTAAGGGATGGGTAGAGCATGCAGAATGTCTTCATATAGGGGAACTGTCTATCTGAGGGGAGTAAATCACATGCATTAATGTTTCCCGGGAAAGTTCTTGGGACATATTATACATTTTGCTTTGTGGATATACACAAGATTATTTTATCTTTCATCCTATCCAGAGCACACTGAAATCAATGAATGCCTTGCTTTGACTTCGCTGAGGTTTGAATCAAACTCAAGACTGTAATTATGAAGGGCAAAGAGCCATCATAATGATTTGTGATCATTTTGGTGTCTTAGAAGCTGAAATGTTGATTTACCATGTTCATAGCCCATTTCCTTTTGCTTTATGGGGGTTGGAATGGGTTCACACACATCAGTGGGAAATGAATTTGACGCTCCTTTCCTTTTCCAGTGCAAACAGCTATTTCCTTACTGGAGGGGCCACCAGCATCTGCCATTAGCATTTGTGCCAGGTCAGGACACTAAAGTGATGGTGATGCCCTTTTTTACAGCTGTCACTAACAGTTGCCTGGACCTTGAGGGCACATCTTGCTGGAGAATCCCATGATGCTCCAGCATATGTTCTCTGGCACCACACAGAGAGCTGAGCAAGGCAAGGGAGGGCCACACTCACAATCCTGCCAGCTGCTCAATCTTGCACATAGCACTAACTTGAAGTGATGCTAAACACCCCAGGTTGGACTCTTCTGAGTGCCCCTGCCAAGTTTGCTGCAGTCCTGGTTAATACTTTTTATTGCTCTTTCAAACACAGGAGGTCCCCAAAGTTTCCTTTCATCTGGTTCCCTGCCACCATCTTCTTAGTGCAAGTGCCCCTAACTAATAGGAACAATTACAAATATGCTAAGAGTTAATTAGCCTAACACAAGGACAGGTTTTCCTGGCTGTTTTCCCAGGTCCTTGACTGACATCTTGGCATGGGCTCATCACAAGTTCTTCTCTGGTTGGTGAATATGAGAGCAGGCTGCAGTGTGGGCCAAGGAGGGAGAAGACAGAGGTGCTCCCCCAGGTGCTATGAGGAACAGTGATAGACAACCAGAAACTGGATTTCATACCTCTACCATTCTACAGATGAGATTTAATTATGAGCACAAGGCACAAAGCTACCAGTATGGGTGTGGGGAACATGGTGAACCCTCCAGAGATGCATGATTCCTTGCAATTTTTTCTTAAATTGCAAGTGATGCCCATTTCTATAGAAATTCAATTTTGTTCACAACCACTGAGGACTTGGAAGAAGTTATCTTTCTGTAAAAAAAGCGGTCTAAACATTTTTCTGTGTTGATGTGGCTCTATCCCTATTCTGTTCATTCCCATATTTTAGTATGATCTATCCGCAACCTTTTAAATCCAGAGAATACCTTTAAAATATGTAGCCTATTTCTGGAGTTTTCTGGATTTTCTTGCACATATATCCTTTCACTTATTTAAATTTAGAAACTATAGAGATTAGAGAGTCTGTACTCAGAGAGATCCTCGATGGTATGTGGTATTCCAATGGATTAAATGTCAGATTCTGATCTCATTGTAGGCAAAAGAGTAACTTGTGCCAGTTTAAACATCTTTGCAAAGGTCTTCAGACTTGTTGCATAGCATTCTAACAAATTTAGGCACTACTAAACTGAAAAATATAACCTTTGGGACCAGAAGGGGATGGCTCCAGTTTCCCTAAGTGTTTTAATAGAACAAGTTGACAAAGCAGGAAAAATTTTAGTCAAGATGTTTCGTATCAAGACCCTGAGAGACAGCATCACTGCTTAAAAAGCAAATAAACTAGCAGAACTCATAACTTCCCCCACCTGCCCCCAACATTTCCAGAGAATCCATGATCAGTTATTTTATCCTAGGATTTTTATAACCTTGCTATATAAATTCAGTTTAAAAAAAATTATCTGGGAAATGTAGTGGCTTTGGGCAGGTGTTCCTTTATTGAGAATGGACTGCAAATGCCCCTCACAGCCTTATGAGAAGGTTTTACAGTGGGTGCTTAGGAGGAAAAATGTAAATAATAAGGCTCAGGATTGACCCGAGTTCTACTCCGTCTCTACCTATGATGAGACTTACATTATGAGCAAGTATTGGAAAAAATATGAATCCTTGGTTTACTCAGTTATGATGCCCAGCCTGCCTCGAAATCCAGAAGTGTCTACACTGTTGCTCCAACGAGGCTAATTATAAAAATAAAAGTAAACTTACTTGCTGGGACATACCTTTCTTTACAACACATGTATATCCCTGTTATCCAGCATGGAGAGTTGAAGGAGATGAGTAAGCATTTTGAAGCTGTTTCTCCATCATTTTCCCCACAATTTCAAACACCTTCTGATGCTTCATTTGTACTTTCCCCAGTGCTAGCCTGCAGTGTGTCATTTTCCAAGGCCACCACGTCATTCTGTTTAGCTGAGCAAGAAGCATTTCCAGGTTCTCTTTGCTCAAAATTTTGTTGTGTTCTTTATCTCCCAAAGATGTATGATCCTGTTCTGTGCAGATGGAATGCCTAATGGAGAATAAAAAACAGTGCATGATGCCATGGCAGTGGATGGGGAAATCACTGAACTTCATGGAGATGACTTGTCCCTCAGTGCTTATCCTGTAATTTGTTTTTTTATGGTTGGTGCTATTGGTACAATAGTCAACACTACTACCAGTCCTTTCCTAACCTCAGTGTTCCACATCTTAATTTTCCAAGCAAATTTTGCCCACAAGAGAAGAGATCTTGTTCTGTGAATCACAGTTGGAGAATCCCATACACAGAAACAAATGGGAATCAGTGACAAAATAATTACTTTCCCATCTCAGTTCCAAACATCCTTTAACTATACCTGGTAACATAATCTACAAATTCTTTAAAAGTTTTGAAAGTAAGCCAGGGTACTGCACTGTCCAAGGATTTGTGTGGGATTTGGGGAGACAATTCAAGATCTTTGCACTTTGAACAAATTCACTGTTATGGCCTTGACATATTAGTGGGTATCATCCCAGCGCAGTTGAGGAGAGATGGGAAGAAGTTTTGTGCTCATCCAGGTCATTGTAGTGTGAAGGAATTCACCCTCATCCACAGCTTGTACATCTTAAATACTGGTCCTAAGCCTAATGGAATTTGCACACATCATTCCCACTTCCTTTTCTCCATGGCAGTACGCATCATGGCAGCACCCTAATTTCTGTTGTATTAAAAGATTTATTTGTAAGGGTTGTCGACCCAGTTACTAGCCAAAATACCAAGAAAAGCTGAATTTCCTTCAAGCTCTTTTCAGAACTCAAGATTGAGGAATTGCTGATCCATAGGTTAAATCCCATTGGTACTGAATTCTCCAGTTCTAGTCAAGAAAATCACAAAAGGCTCTGAGGTTAGGACAAGAGATTTTTTTTTCTAGTCTCCAGTAAAATTACCTACATACTTGAAGCTGAACATCTGCCTGAGTGCTCTGTTGGATTGAAACCAAAATGCTTAGCACTTCACCAGGCAGGGCTCTGACAGTCTCAAGGCCAATGATTTTTAGAGCAGACAGCCAAGCCATCAAAGGATTAAACAATACAGAAAGAATGCTAAAACCACAAACTTATTGCCTTGCTTCCTCAAGGAGATGACAATGTGTACCCTTATCACAAATTAAATATGAAAAAAAGAAGGTTGTAACCATAGCAGCTGCGAAAGTCAGGCACTCTGGGCACAGGATTTATTATGCTTCTACTTCATCACAGGCTGCATTCATTTACAAAGAAGTCCTTAACGTCAAGAACAAAAGAAACCAAATTTCTGTGAATGCTCTGAGTGTGCTGACTGCCTAATGCTTGGAGTGCCACTTCATAAGCTGAGCTGACAGGAAATAATAATATAATTAGACAACAATGACCTTCAGGTCGGGCACTTCCTGGCAGTTAACCCAGTCTTTAACCTGGTGACTTGGCTGCTCTTGGAAAGTGCCCAGTCCCGAGGCTTTCATAGCTGTAACGACCGCAGGAGTTCTTAAAACAAATAAATTACCATTTTTATGTGCTGAAAAGTTAAAAACTGAACTGCACATTGCCATGGAGACAGTGTGCTATTTAGAGCACAGAGATTTTCCAAGGAGTGAGAGTCCAGTTTAAAATCCAACAGGAAAGAATGCTTCGGTCTTTGTGTTTTGTTGGATTTATAATCATTGTAGTTTGCATGTAGGATGCATAGAGATAATGTTAATAGATTCTGGAGACAAATCTTGTCTATCATATTGGAACTGTGTATTCTGCTTTGGTCTGCCCCAGTTGTTACAGCATCTGCTTTCTGTGATCTCGTATTACCAGAGCCATCAGTAATGACAATTTAAGGAATTGTTTAAGCATCAGCCAGCAGAAATACTGTAATAAACAGCCTTGAGTTTGCAGGGTCTATATTATGCACTGAGTACTCCAAATTCCAGGTGTCTCAACCTGGTTTAAACCGTCTTTCATAAATATCTTTTTGAGGAATACAAATGTTCCACAAGTTTGCTGCCAAACACAACTGGAGTTGCACTGTTGGGATGTCTGAGAAATGCTTGGTATTTATAAAACCAGCGTGCCCCAAAGCATCAATGCGCTTTACCAAGGATTCTTATTGATTTAAAAACTCTCTGACACTTTGCATTCCTTAATGCTGTATTCTAAATGTTTTTGTCATCTTGTCAAGGACTGGAAAACAACACATGAATGAGCTTTTGTTGTAAATATTGATTCTAAAGAAACCTATTAGACAGAGACTCTGCATGTAACAAGTGTACGAGAGGAAGAGCAGTGCGTGGCTTTCGCTCCCAATTATCGCACACAAACAGTTTGGTCAGTGCTTCAGTTTTGCGTTCCTGGATATATCCTCTGCTTGGCAGACCTGTTCTGGGTTAGTTTGGAGGTTCCTTAGTTTTTTAAATAATTTTTAAAATTAATAATGACTTGTGGTTTACAAATGATTCAGTGCAACGTGAGGGCAGAACATGATTCAGCTGCTGTCAGGATGCCTCAGAGGGGCATGTGCTTTCTTGAAGGACACTTGCAGAAAAGTCAAAATACAAAGTTACTGAGCATTCCTGCTGGATATCTAAAGATGGATCTGAAAGGAGAAAGGGATGGAGGGGATGAACATTGTGATTTATACACAACTTGTAGAAGAAATCATACATAAAACCGTGTGCAGAAACACATTGCAAACAATGCAGTATAGGCTATAGCAATAAAAAATGAAACAGTATTCATTTCATCAAAACCATATGAGACTAGATATGAGGTGCTTGGATTTCTTTCCTTCTCTGCAAAATTCCTTCAGGGCCTTCTAGATCCTTTTCTATCTTTCTCAACACTAGAAGTATTTGGTTTATTAGACCAGTCTAATGACCTAGGCACAAGCCTCTTTTTATTGTTTTTTCCCCTTTAAATGTAGAACAATAAGGTGCTATACAATAATATATTACACCAATCAGATCTCAGGGGAATTAACTTTTTTAGTGTGTGAGAAGGCACTACCTATTAGCTACTCTCATATTCCCTTGAAAATTTCTTGAATTTTCAGTTCAATATTTTATCAATATTCTCTTGAATATTGATATTCTCTTAGAAATTCCTATATTTAAAAAGCTATAAAATCAGCACTGCAATGTCGTGTATATAAACAAAAATTAATATTTTCTCAGTTGTACTATAAAAATAACTCACCTAATATGATAAATCATTATCATCAATGAGTCCATTTGAGAAAACATGAAACTGCTCTCAAACTACAGCTAGCAACTTCTGTGTTTGAGAGTGTTGGTCTGAACTCAAGAGCACCTCAGGCTAAGGCTGTCCTCTGACTGAGGAGAAAGATCCCTTTTCAGAAGGGATCTGGGGACTGGTAGCACACAAGTTGGAAAGGTTGGAAAAAGAATCTCAGGTTGGAAATGGGACAAGACAAATGTGGAGATAATCCACAGCCACTCCCACACAGTCACACAGGGACACTGCCATGCTGAAGGAGCTGGCCCTGAGCACTTAAGGCTGAGCTTGTGCAGCAGGTGACTTTATCTGCTCCTCACACCCAGCTGAGACCTTGCAGCCACAGCTGACAGGGCACCAGCCTGACATGATGAACTCTTTCCCTACATTAGCAGACTAATATGTGGGCTTGGAGCACAGGCAGAATGAGCTCATGTCTGCCCACAAAGGACCTTTTAAATATATATAATATTGGTATCCAAACACAGGCACAACCACAATTAGCAATCCCAATTCCTTCTTAGCAAAAGTGGCCAATCCAGACTATGAAAAAATCATCACACAACTGCAGGATAAGTGAGAAGCTCAGGCTGATGCAGCCCCAGAGCAAGGTACCTTGGCTTGGGACAGTGCCAAGCTTTGTTTCATCAGCTCTCAGAGATGTTGTTGGCTTTGTGGAAAGGAAACAAACACCACTGAAAGAGAAGAGAGATAAAAAGAGAACAGGGATAAGGACTTCCTCAATTACTCATACTCTGAACTTTCACTCTAGTGGTGCATTTCAGACTCCCCTTAGGGCAACTAACCGGCCAGACTTGCCAGTACCTCAAAAGAAGCAGGAGACACTCTGCATATCTCTCAAAAAGATGCTGTAATTTACCTGCCCTTTACTTTGCCTTCATTTGCTTCCATTACATCAATAAACAATTGCTCTCTCTCCCACACAAGGGATCTCTGTCCGTGCAGAGCAGGAGATCATACAAAACCACAAAGGAAAGAACACAGTTATCTTCCTGTATTTTAGCAGAGAAAAAGGAGAATACAGCTACAACAAAACCAAATCATATTTCCAGCATACACAGGGTTGATCGCTGTAAATACATTATCTCTCCAGAAAATAATGGTACATACAATGCAGTTATTCTTGGACACAAGTGGATGGCAAGCACATGCTCTGGGAATGGCACCAGATTATCCTAAATGGAATCCAGCAACAAGTCCATTTGTGGTGAGGAGGAGGAAAGAACAAGCAAACACCTTTCTTCTCCCCTCCTCTGAAAGGAAAGGTAATGACAAAGCAAGTCAAGGGGGAATCACCAGTAAAACAACAGTTTTATCAACATGATATGGACACAATCCTTCCCCAGACATTGTGGTGGAAATAGTGGCAGCAACACATTCACCAGCCAAGACAATGTGAGTGATCTGTGCCACTTGTAAGCCCTTCTCCGGTCCAGCTGGCCACATGTTTGACTCATGCAATGCTTGGATCCTGCTTTGGCTTGAACCTTTGAGCAGATGATGAGAGCTCTGAAAGGGTAACTTAAGGAAAGATATTCTAGTTATAATGAATGTCAGGTGTTGTTTCCACCTTGTGTATTTACAGGCTCGTATGTACCTTCCTAGGCAAGTCAGAGATTCCATTAAAAGACACTGCAGTTTACCCAAAGCTTGCTCTTGAAATTTGCCCAAAGATAAAAAGTTTCACTATTCCACTATCAAACATCCACAGTACAGAGAGTATCAG